CCGGACTCGGCAGACATGCAAAATGGTGTATTATTCTCCTACCACCAGAAAAACTTTTTCGGCGCGGTGTCATATGTCGCGCGTTCGCTCGCTGCGCGCCGTTCGCCCGCTCACCGCTCCCCGCTCGCCACCATCTCTCATCGATTGATGCGTGACTTCACCTCTCGCTATCGGATCTTGAGAGATGTCAACAAATACACCATTTTGCATGTCTGCCGAGTCCGGCCTTCCGTTCCTCCGTGCACTTATTGGCTCAGACGTTTTTCTTAATTACGCGATAATAATTACGGATTTTGTAAAATGGTATATAACTTTTCTTCTCAGTTCGACCAAATCTACTATAATCTGGAGTGGTCCAAATCGAATCCGACACCCTGTATAACGATAGGAAAGAGACTTCTACTAAAAATTAGCATATGAAAGCGACTGTATATGAATAATAATTAGGACCCTAATCATAATACATGAAACAATTATTCCATTTGTTTCTTTATGACAAAGGTTTTCGTCTATTCTCGCATTAAATGTTCCTTTGCATTATTTTACGCACTTGTTCGTCGACTATATCGTAACAGCAAAGTACCTTTTGGTTAATCGGCTGGTTTTAGCTTAAGGGCAGAATACAACGCATTTCGGTGTCATGTGATGATAAAAATTTTTATTTACAAATGCGACAAATGTAGGAATTCGGGTACCAGTGACATGCGGGAGAGAATCGATCGGCCGTCCGCTGTGACGACGTTATAAAATGTACTTCCTCGCGCGCTCCTCGTTGCTGTTGTCGCTTGTCGTCTCTCCGAGACGTCACTGGCGAAGGAAAGAATCACTGAGATGTAACAATAATAATCTTTACATTAAATACGATTAAAATCTAGCTATTTTAAGGGCTATGCGGAATTACAATAATAGAAATATTTGGTATCTCAGGGCTTTCATCCTGTTGCAGGACCTTTCCGGGGATAAGGGGGAGAGGAGTCGGTAAGTAGGTGGGGCGTGTCAGGGGGCTGGGAATATACTCCTTTCTTGTTTAATTTCAAAGGATAACATCACAGCATTGACATATCAACATCGAAACGATCAGAGCAGCTCGTTCCTCGAAAGTCACCGAAACGTTCGATGAACCTCTGCTCGCTCGTGAGATGCCTACGGTTCGTTATTCCGACGGGAGGAAAGTGGTGTCGTCGTCTGTGCATTTATACTCGGGGACTCTCGAGGAGCGTGTTGCAACGGCCGTAGCGCTTTTTTTTTTCATTTGCTATAGAACAATTTACAATATCTCGTTAATTAGACGTCTCAATTCCGTCTCCGAACAACTGTCACGCATTTATACGCAAGCCGTATTCTCTCATTTGCTCGTTCGCTCGCTCTCACGCACGCACGCATATTCTCTCGCTCTCTTCCTTTCTCGATCCACTCTGCATCCATCTTGCGATCAATTACAATTAGATGTACAATCGAATAATATTAATGTGATTGACACAATCCAAACGCAATAGCTTACAAATATTCTCTCTCTCTCTTTCTCTCTCTCGCTCTCTCTCTCGCTCTCTTCATTACCGGTGCAACAATAGTGAAATAAAGTTCTCTTCTCAAGGAAAACGGATGGATCGCGGGTGGATCACGTGGAGCATTCTGCCACGTGCTGAAACATCTGCGTGCTTATCAGTGAGCGACAGCACTGATAGCGCATTTGACAATAATATAGATAATATACAGAGAAAATCTTTGATCCGACGAACCAGCCACGAAAGGGAATTATCGAGGACGCTCGCGCGTGCACGAAGTTTATCATTCCTTTGACACGATTCCTACACACGCGACAGAATTGCATCTAATCCTCGTACGAGCGCTAGTCGGCCCGAATTGACGCTCGTCTCTCGCGCGATACGTGCGTGAAGTTTCAACTCTCCGACAATACACGCTACGGTGTCGCTGAAGAAGCATACGATTATCGGCGCTACCAATATTGATTTCAAAATCTCTCTCTGCCTCGAACGACTAATTAACGACGTGGATTTACGAAAGGAGCCGTAAAAGCTGCATTTTTACGTATTCGTAGAAGGCGTTGCAAATTAATACACACTTAAACGTAGAATACTTTTCGCAATAAGTTGATTAGAAAATTTCTCTGAATTATCGCTGGCTGAATAAATGAATTTTCTCAATTTCTATTCACTCAAGTGTGAGAAACACATCGATTCGGGCCGATACGTAACGCCGTAGCAGTCTTACACCGCCATTTCCTCTTTTCGCTATATAGATATACTTTCGAAACCACATTATACCGTCAACAATATTATGCCGTGCGCCTCGATACAAGGACAGGCATTTCGCAGTATTTTAAGCATACTGAGGGGACTTGCATCGGCCGAATGTCTCCCTCGCGTCGTCTTGAGAACGCGAGGGCACCTAAGGCCTGCGCTCAGTCCTCTTTTGGACCTTCCAACCATATGGGGTTACATTCAGTGAACACGTCGATGGGACGAACGAGGGAGATCGTCGACGACGACTTGGCGCATCGGGCAGCGTTATCGGACTAGAAAGTGAATAAAACTCCACGATACTTGTCGCATCGACTACAAGTCGTCCTATCTTGAAACGTTCTTCTGAAAACTCTACAGTCCTGCGTAACGCAATCTTACTCCGTCACCGCCAATTGTGATTGCGGCTGGAATCGCTTCACAAATGCGCGCTGTAGATGAATGAAATAATCAGTGAGCGTCCAAGTGTTACCGTAGCGCGCGTAATCTGTCAACAACAGACACCACTTGTCGTCCCGAAGAGGTCTCTCGATCGTTCCCGCAATCCATCGTTACGACTATCAAAGTGACCGCCGTCGACGACTCCGCCACGATGAATCCATAAAAAATTTTACATCCCTGCGTACGTTGTATAAAGTCAAATTGGATCCGCAGGTAGCTTCGAGACTACCCGATCCGATCGTACTCGAAGCCAGAAGCGATCTCTTAACCCCATCGTCTTACAAATCCGCCGTGCACACGGTGCGACAAAATACTTAGTCGTTTACAAGCGATCGCCGTTTAATTGTCGATACGATCAAACGGTGCCAATCAATTCGTTAAACTCTCTTTTCCTTTCAACAAATAAATATTTGGATCCATAACGTTTGCGAGCGGACGCATCGATCGCGCGGGTAGCAGCGACTAGGAGCGCCCGTCGACGATACGACGCCGTAATTAACTAACTAAGCGAATTATTATTACTACATGCACACAGTGCGAGCCAACGAACCAAATCCCACGCAATTATCAGGTCAGTTCGCGCCCTACACGCGCACAATTCGTACAACAAGTACAACATCGAAGATTCATCCTCCCATACCAGCCTTCGTCTCTTTCACCTAACGTCGATACTCGTAGAGTTTCATTTTAGTCTTCAGAAAATTCGTATGTTCCCAATTCGACTTTCAGTGTTTCAGTTTACACCTCGCCTATGATCATCCTCGATTAGTCAAAGCTCCTTATCTAACGTAACGCCTAGACGACGGGGCACTCTATACGTAAATGCACTCTGTACAAAGTCATCCGATCGAGTCGCCGAATTTCGCGTAGATTGGCTTGAAAGTAAAAGGATTTACACTCTTTGGATCATTTGCGCGCACGATGTAACGTGAATTATTCCTTTCGTAACGTAAGCTAGTTCTCAAGTATTTCTCTTCGATTCAAAGTACAGCGAAACAAAAGGTATTCGAAACTTATTTTACACGTGAGTGTAACTTGACAAGAATTTAAAGAATTAATTAATGTTAATCTAAGAATAGAAGAACATCGAAGAGTTCGGCTGGTTGTAAAATTCAACGACGCGATTTCTCCTTCCAACGAGGTTCCGAGTCAATCGTGTAGTTACACACGGAAACTACGAGCGTCGATCTAAGCACTTGTGATCGAAGGATGTAAGTATTTTTAGGATCGCTTCCATCAAGCTACATACTGAATTCTCGGCGCTACTTGAGCGCTACATAGATGAAATATTATTAACGACGCGGTAAAGTAACTGGGTGAATCGAAGCCGCTAAGTCTCAAACCCAGGTCGAATATTTTTCGCCGCGGTTGCGCTTCCTCTAGAGGAACGTTTCCGTGTATGTAGATCGGTATGTGTACGTATATGCGCCAATATATTTATGGCGTGAATTTTCATCGCTGCTTATATCCTGAGGAGTTACAAAATATTATAAAAATTTCCATCTTGACAATTAAAAAATATCTATAAGATATTACACCTTGCACAACTATAGCTACAGCTCGCGGCTTTCCTCGGACCTGCGGTCCGCAACCAAGCGGAATCAATCGATCAACCGAGCGATATTCTCGATCTGCAGAAAACCGCTTTGCAAAATTTTACTATAATATATAAATTATATATACATGCCGTTAAGTTTCTCTTATAAAAAATGTCAAATATATTTTAGCCCACATACTTAAAATTTATTCTCTACGAAATCGTACCTTAAAGCAAACCCTTTACTTTTATTCATGTGTTAGAATTATTAATTATTAACGCGAATTATTAACGCAATAAATAAATAATGTATTAATATCATCAATGTTTCATTCTGAGGCAAGTATAAATATCTGAAAGTTTCCTTACTCATTAAATCACTCGTACTCGTAATCGCTCCGACTTATAAGCATGTCTGAAGATTAACCAAGCGGATTTCTTCCTACCGAGAATACTCGTATATATTCGCACTTCCTCCGGATGGTCTCACTCGACATGAGAAATGAATTTGATGTACGGAAGCAAAAGAAAAAACAGCGTGAATTTTTCATATAGATTCACAGCGATCACGACGAAATGTATTTACCTAATATGTACAAATCTGGGCTGCGAAAGAATTTCGTGGTTAATAGTCTCGAAATGTATTGCGCTCGAATTCGTTTCGAAGTAGCGTCGAAATGTGTTACGAAAATTTCACATCGAGAAGTTTCAGCGACGATTTTGTATCTCGATTGGTTTGCTAAGGAATCGGAGAACTTCCGCTGTTCTCGACCGTCTTATTCAAACGCGCGACGTTAGATATTTATATCTATAACTCTTTTTACAAAATTTCTTCCTAGGGTAAAATTTACATCCTCAACACTGATAAGCGATATTGGCGCGATAATTCGCGTCGGCACCAAATTTCATGCGAAGCTCCGAGGTGCTTCAGAGAGGCGAATATCCGTATGTAAATACGTACTTATTTAAGATTTAAGTATTAAAAAAGACAAACGAACATGATCATAGCGTATGCAAATCAATCGCGCTTTGCAATGCGTTCTCTCCAGTAGTCGTGATCTTAATTGGTACCAATCGTCGACTGCAACAAGACATTACGTAATACAGCGCCTCGACAAAATCGAATCTTTTGCATTAATGATTTGCGAAATAATAATCTCGGATAGTTGAATCACGACCTAAGCTCTTTCACTCCTTCTCTCTCTTTCGTCGGGAGAGAAGAAGTTTTCAATACAATTTACAATGCAAAGAGTTGAAAAGATTTTTTATACCTCTTTTAAAAGATTTTATTTACAAGTTAAAATAGCACGCAAAAAATTGATACCAATTAAGGACACGCTGTATACTATTATTAAATCATAAATGTCATCAGACATTACACTCTTTGCCGATTACACGTACCATCTAACGTTTTAACAGCAAACAGCCAAACGAGCAAAGTAATCTATGTGATATCCAAATCACAATTCGACATTTCACAATTTTACGAACTTCGTCAAAATACATTAATTGCAAAAAATGTCTCAAATGTACTTATGCCGTTCGAGTGTGGCGACTAGAATAAAACAAGCGTACATAAGTAATATTTAAATATTAGACGACGGGGGTCGCATGCTTTTGAAAAGTTTCTCTTCACACGAAGAAAGGACAGCTAATCGTTACTCGATTCTCGAAGAAAGAAAAAAAGAAACGCATGGAAACCAATCCAAGATTTACCTGTGCTTAGTTTATGCTAATTTATACAGCAACATACACAATGTAGGACACCGCTAATCAAAAGTGCGGTATTTGCACGCACCACCGCGTATAATATATAGGAAAAATTTCTGATTAATTACCCTAAATAATGATTTATGCCGTGATCTATTCCGAGCTATTTTGGCTGCGAGAACGCCTTAAGATGTCCGTAGGTTTTCATCTGCGAGTTACTTTTACTTCTTGGAAATATTAGGGCAATCGTATCGCGTCGATCGCCGATCGCCGATTCGACATAAATGGTTTTAGGGCCCGGGAGGAGTCGGTGCAGGGATTTAAGGCCCCAGGGCTCTTTTCACTCTGTCTCGAGTGCACTTTCTATCTTGGTCTCCTCGTCCCACGCGATTGTCTCGCGCGTCTACTAGTGTCGTTGAGCTGATTCCGCGTATGGAGAATTTGTCCTGCGTATACTGCGATGGACAAGGACACCGGAAGATTATTTCGAATCGGCTAGAACTCCCGTTAGTTCAATCGTTTCTTCCAAACGATCGTTTAACTGCGCTCGAACCCTCAATCATCGCGTTCGTGACGAAAATTCGCTAATCGGAAAATCGCACGTAAGTATTAAAAGAAATCCACCCTTATTGCAGTAATTTTAGTTTGGCAAATAATTCGCGTTCGCAAACAAAGTCCATCGAAGATCGATGTAGATGCGTAGAATGTGTGTATGAGTACGAAGCCGTTTTCATCTATGCCAACTGATTGGAGCTTGTTCCGGGAGATTTCCAAAATTATTCGGTTAAAATTTAAATTCTGTACAGATTCTGAGAATGAGATCGAAACTGTCGACATAATTTTTCGAGTTGCTTCTCCTTAATCGTATGTGAGTCTTTCGAAAGAGGTTCGAGGGTAAGTTCTTGGCGTGAAAAATGCACAGTGGTCGATTGATATGAACGACTTTGAGTAGCGTATATTTAACGAGGAGAACCGAACGCAGTCAAGTGTGTGTGTGTGTGTATTCTCTTTTACAAGATTATTCCACGGTCTTCTTTACTATAAAGTAGCAAAAGATGTTATGTAATGTGCATCTCGAAACGATGCGTGCGTTTTGTCATGGCCAGCAATTATTACAGTGAGCATTTGATATTGTTTGGCATAGTACACTGAGAGAAAAAAAAATAGTCATTTTTGGAGCCAACCATATTTTGGTTTATGACAACCAATATTGTGGTTATGAGAACTATCACATTGTTAGGTCAACCATAATTTACGTTGGAGGAATTATAAAAAATATGGTTGGCTCCAAAAATGACTATTTTTTTTGTAAAAATGACTATTTTTTCTCTCAGTGTACGCTTAGTCGTTACAATGAGCGGGGATGGGCATGTTGACATGTTCCCTTCATTAAGTATAATTGTACAATTAAGTTGATCGCGAATGTTATCGAAGTATCTACACGGAAAAAAATGCTGTTGAATGAAAAAGAAACAAGAAGTTGCTTGAATCGAACGTTCACGGGCTGCCGCGATTGTGTTTGCTATGGATTGCAATATTAAGCAAGTATCCAGATTATTAAGAATACAGATTTTGGTTGATACATAATTTCCTTTCCGTGCAGTAGAGTAAAAAGGAATAACAGCAGCGTATACTCGTAAGTGGTGTATTATTACAGATGCGAGTGCTTGCGGAAGATAAGGATGCGCGTTTAGAGCATGGCAAAAAATTTCCCCAGCAGTCGTGTTCGCAACTGAACTCGTATCCCCTAATTAAACGGCAATAAAATGTTGCGTTGCGATTTGTACTTTTCCCTTGCAGGTAGCGCGAATAAAGATGCAAGCGTGAAAGGTTTCCGGGATTGACGTGCGCGCCCCATGGCGACGGGTAGCGTATCGATAGCGAGGTTTCACGGTGGAATAAGGTACGCGGAGATGAATCGTCGACGGTCTCGAGATCGTCGAGGTGCGCCCGGATAGAATCGATATTATGGTAGCATCTCTTTTCCTTTTACATTCGTTGGTGGCGTGTGCTGTCAGCCGATCTGGATTTCTGTACTCTTCTTGTCTTTCTTAGCATATAGCAGCGCGACAGGAAACAGCCCCACTAACAGAGCGCAGCGATCTTATCGCGAGGTAGCGTTGCGCACTTCCTAGCGTTCGGTAGCGTTACCGGGAGGCGAGCCCGCTAAAGGGCGGTGGTGCGCAGGTGGGGACAGCGCTGAAGCGACAGGCCCCGGGGCCCCAGCTCCTAAATAGCATTAAGAGCACGCGAGTCCTGCTGCTGGCGACGTCTCGAGGCACTACCGTAATCGACGCCGTGTTCCTCCTCGCTGTAGTCGTGATCCATGCGATCGCTTCGATCGCGATCCATCCGCTCCAGCCGCGACCTTCTCGTACCGTCATCTCTGGCCCCTGGATTAGAGACAGCGGAAGATTAGCTTTTCAATCGCGGACGGTCATTCGCGCGTCTTGCTCAAGCGAGTCTGTCATTTTTGCCAAACTTTGTGTGCTCCTCATTGTTTTCTTAAAGAACGAATCCACTGATAGTAACAAGTGACAGCACTGATGTAACCCATTGTTGATGTGGGTTTTAAATCAAAGGGGCGAATTGAATTCGTAAATATTTATATGAGTTACTGAAGAGTCGGGGAAAGGAAGATAAGGCAGCATCTGTAGATAAAACGGAGCGTTTTCATTAAATCTAAACTATCAGTGCCATTTAGAAGCAAGCAATGTTAATCCGCTTGCTTCTTCTAAATGGCATTAATAGTTCAGATAGTTTAATGAGAGTCCGTTTTGCCTACAGATGCCGCGTTGCCTTTCCTTTTCCCTGCTATTAAGAGAACATTGAATTGTGTATTTATGTACAACTGTGAACTTTTCATTTACTCTTAATTCTTTTACTCAAGTGCAGCTTTTTGTATTAAGAAATTATTGTACAGAGACAAGTCTCAAATTCCAACGCAAAGAAACTATCTACATGTCACGTCACACAAACTATACCCTACGGAAAAAAAAACGAACGTCACTTGGGTCTTGGATTATTGTTGTGAGCAACAATAGGAATGGATTAGATCATTCCGGCCACGTCATTCCAACATCACATGCTACTTAATCCATGCAAGCTTCTAAGTAAAAAAAGGAGGCACGGCGCAAAGACTCCGACGTTCGAACTACCGTTGCGCAGGTGCGCAGAAATCGAGAAGTAGAAGAAAGTGCTCGTGCGGTCATCAGACACGTTGATGCAACTCGGACATTTACCCGGAAATTACGCGAGACGATTGTCGCGCAACGATCCACGGCGAAGAATAAGGAAACCCTTTATAACTTCTGCCCTCTCGACTTACGCTGCCACGTCGTTAATCTCTCTCGCTAACGTTAGATAATCTCTATTCTAGAGTCCTATTCTATGTGAGAGGGGTTGGTGAAGGGCTTGCGAAACATATCAAGTGAAAAAAACAACAAATATACAGGCCAGACTTCTAATCGTGACACAGAAACAATTTCGACGTAAGTAAAGAAATATTAATGGAGGTATCAAATGTAAAACAGCTCAGATATATCTGTGTACGTCGAAATCAGATTTTATATAATGTAAAATTCAAACGGTAATTTTAAGTGGACATACGTTTTAAAGAATATTAATAAAATGTAGGAAGTTTGTAGTTGAATAAAATTACATAAATTTATAGCAAGTACAACAAACTTGTACTTGCCATAAATAATAATACGGAGAATTAATTTGAAAAAGGAAGCATTGAGTGACTTGCAACTAAACGGAAAGCATGTCGTGGCCAGAAGTTTAGCCAAAATAAAATTCCATTGGAACAGGAGCAAAAAATGAAGTGGAAAATAATGGCGTAATTGCGCTAATACAGTAGCAATCAAATAACTTTTACGGCAATAACGTTTAAAATTAATAATTAAAGTGAAATTATTAAACGTTTCACGGCGCAAATGCGAGTAAAATGATTCGTAACTTGAAATATTTGTATGCGAAAGCATATAATTATATATTTTAGTTGAATATACAATAAAATTGCAAACGCATTAAAACGTTAAAAACTGAGTGTTATAGCTTCGAATTTAGAGGATCATATCTGCGCAATTTTGACAATAAACTTTTAAGTGAAGCAAATACGGAATAAAACTTGTATTATAATTTACATTAAAGTCTTTGATTGCTGTCTATGGCGAACCTGTAGTTACTTCACCGCAGAAAAAAGAGTAAAATAATAGGGAAACAAATCATTTTCTCTGCTCGAGAGAAATAAAATCGGGTCGGTTCCGTGTTTCCGGGCCCATGCACCAAACCCATCTGTACTTACTACGCGCCCTTACAAAGGTATATCCCTATTATACAGTCTCTCTCTCTAATTCTTTCGATCGCATCCACACCCGGAACGAAATATTCACGGTGTGCAGATTACGGAGTGTACAATTTGGCCGGTTTATGCCGCATAAAATCGCATCCGCGATGAAGCAGGAAGTAGAAACGGCCGCACAATGACAGGCATGTCCCGCGCTCGGGTCTTCTTAACTCGACTGTCTCGTCTTGGTCTCTTTGGTCACCGTGACCAAGTCGCTAGTTGTCGTGGTTTCGGATGACTCCCGTGGCAGCCACCGCCTCCACTTTTACACGTAAACAAAGAGAACATCGGAGTCAGAGCTCGTTGCTGATGAGAACAAAGCCGATAATCGGTGCGATAATGCGTGCCCTCGCGGCACATTCGTGGGTAAAAATTGGTTTTGCATTGGTTGATCGGACACCGCATTGCGGCGTAGTGAGTTTAGAAATTGATGACAATAGATGTCTTGTGAAGAATATAAATAAAAGTAAGATAAGGTAAAAAAGTGAAATCGGATATTGCTTCCATTAGCCTTTTGTCCCGCGCGATCGCGTAATAGCTTTGGCGTAGTTAATTTGGCATAGTTTGAAAACACACATAGATCTTAAAAACTTGTTTCGAACACCCTTGACTTTGCGTAAAATACAATCAAAGAATGAACTGTGGTACTCAGTACTCGAAAAAGTAAGTGGATTCCATCACATCTAATACTTTGATTGAAAAACCAAGTTAAAACTTCCTTCGGACACTAAACAAAGAAATGACACATTTTCAAATTGGGAAATGATCTAAAACATAGATATTTTCTCCCCCGTTGGCTTTTATTTCAAATTAATTTTAATAAAAAAAATCCACTCGTGATCAATGATAAATAGCGCAGTGTGCACGAAGTAAGTTGCAATTAAATAAAGTAAGCAAGTTTAATGATTAAATACATCGAGTATAAGGAAGGAAAGTTTCTTGCTGACTGTACGAAAAGAGTTGGGGAAGCGATTACACAAATAAAAACGATACGTAGAATTTTATCCGCACTAACGGAAGAGATAAACGCGCCTCGGTCTTACTGCACTGGGTACAAGTTCATATCGACCCGTACGTTCGATCCGTACATTGCCGCTGAAAAGAAATATAACGTCAGGATAAGATGATATTGATTTGATGACAAACGATTATGCGACAGATGCGGAGACAAGTTTGGTCAACAGCACATTGCCTCCTCGGCGGATAAGCGGAATAGAATGCGAAGTTAGAAGGCTGCTGGATCATATCGCAATTAATAGACGTAGATCTTTAAGGATCATCAATTGTAGTATACAGGGTGAGTCTTTCCATATCCGACAAAATTTTTGAGATGGTAGAACGGATCGAGATGAACGGAAAAGTCCTGTACCATTTTGCAATTTTCGTAATAGTTAACGAGTAATTAATTGTGAAAAATCGTTGTCTTAGGCCGGCCTACCGCCCAATTTGAGCGCGTGGCAAGATGTGACCGCCCGGCGATCGATATTGCTATGCGCACATCTCGCCACGCGCTCGAATTGGGCGGTAGGC